ATCCCAGCTGCCATGGATAAAAACCACAGTTAGTCCCTAAGGAGAAAAATCATCTTCCTAGACCTTCCGAGTGACACATTCATCAATGTCTTTCTTTCCAGGCATTTTTTTAAAAAAAGAATTATTTATATTTAACTTTATTTATTTATTTATTTATTTATTTAAATTTGACCAGAGAGGGACAGAGTGAGAGGGAGAGAGGGAAAGAAAGCAAGCAAGCCACCAGGTCCAGGACTTGAACCGCGATTGGCCATGTGGGAGTCCAGCACCCTTAACTACTATGCCATGTGCTGGCCCCTATGCATTTTTAATTATTTTTATTTTTTTAGTGTTTGTTATAGGGTACATTCACTCACCAGAGAGAGAGAGATAAAGTGGGAAAATAAGAAACCATCCCCTTCCCGCCCCTGCAGGGTTGAGAGGGATGGCTGTGCTCCAATCTCTTCTCCTTCATTTTCCTCTCGGGATTTTGGTACATGTTCCTTGAGTGTTTTTCAAGCCTCCTGGTCTGGGACTCAAACTAAGCAGCTGGCCATGTGGGATCCAGCCACCTTAACCTCCATGCCAACTGCTGGCCCCATCTTTTTTTTTCATACACAGAAAATTGGCACAACTTTTTAGGTCAAGAAAAAAAATTCTAAAGCAGCAGTCCTCAACCTTCCCAGCACCAGGGACTGGCCCTGAGGAAGACAGTCCCTCCACAGATAAGGCAGGGGCGTGGGGAAAAGTGGAGGTGTTGGTCCTGGGGTGACTTAAGCGCATCATATCCACTGTGCACCCCATTTCCACCACTACCACATTGCAATATACAATGGAACAATCACACAACAATAGGGTTTGAACTCCCATGAAAATCTAATACCACTGCTGATGTGACAGGGGGCAGAGCCCAGGCGGCAGTGCAAGAGATGGGGAGTGGCCGCCAACACAGACAAGGCCTCACTTGTTTGCCTGTTGCCCATTTCCCACAGCATGGCCGGCCATGGACAAGGAGTCTGGGGACTCCTGCTTTAAAGGAAACAAAGAGAAGCCATCAAGATACAAATCAAATTCTGAGACAGTATGCTCAGCAGTAATTGTTTAAAGTCCTGGAAGTACAATTGAAGATACCATTTGGGAAAAGGGAGAGAGAAAGGCCATGTGTGCTAGCTGAAAGTGTTGCAGGTAATGCAGAGAGGATATCAGCTCAAAGCAATGATTGCTTCCCGGCTAAAATGCACCAAGTTCTAGCACTGGGGTAGTGGAGTAAAAGCCTGAATGCAGACCAATAACCTGTACACCTTGGACTCACAGGTTTGCTTTTGCCTAAGAGGAATTTCTGGGTTTAGCTCTTAATAAGTCATGTGTGTTGACACTCAGGGTCATCTGAGGGGAAAAGGCTGGTAGTCTCAGCCTTAGACTACTAAATTACTTGAGCAATTTAGAATTAACCTTGTGACCTGACGCGAGTCATCTAATCTAGTTTTCTCATCTACAAGATGGCGATAGTACTACTCTCTCATTCATTATTCATCCATTCACTAGAAATTACTAAAGGCCCACTACAGGCCAAGCAGGAGTATATGGTGAGCAAAACAGGCATGGTCTTTGCCCTGTGAGCTGACCAGCTCATCTCGCAGGGCCATAGGTACAGAGCAGGTTTCCTACTGGAGAGCATTCTAACAACAGAAGGAAAGTCTTCAGAATTACCACTGATGACGTCCACGCGTGATCTTGCTGTGTGACCTGGGCAAATCATAACTTTTCTGGGCTTTTCTACTCTCCTCTGTGAAACGAGGAAATGTTCTGTCTGAAAACTTCGTTATTTCAAACACAAATGAAGACGTTAAGTTCTTTAGGTGCATCTGAATTGTGGTTTTCTAAAAGCATTTCAACATAAGGAAAGAGTAAGAGCAATATAACAAACCCTTGTGTAGCAACTCCTCAGCTTAAAAGAAAACATGAGAAGGGGCTCTCTCTGGTGGCATGTCCTCTCTTTCCTAGAGGAAGTAACTGTGACAAGCCACCAGATTCTGTTCATTTTTCAGAATCCTGGCCTTTCTGGAAAACCTGGTGTGAGACTAAAAATGGCTAAGCAGTGAAGAGCTCTTCCTACACTTAGGAGTCCACGTTCCTAATGAACACCTGGTCAAGGTAGTGCACATCACAGAAAGCTCAAGCATCTGTCCTTTCCCTGTTTCCCGCCCAGCAGACAGTTAGAAACCCCTGTGGCAGGCACTGCCTGCTGCCCTTAGAAGGAGCACAATTTTGTATTTACCTTGAGGGCCTTCTGGGCAGATTCACTAGACCCAATTGCAATCAGGTTAGGCCCAGCCATGCTGCAGAAACTCTTCAGGTGCAAAGTATCAGCCACAGGGACTGTGGATACAGCATAGTCCTAGGCAGATAACAAAAACACAAACAGTTTGGTATTACAGAATAATTCGAACTCCAGTGAAAAACCTGCCTGAACCATAGCTACTCTTTTGAAAGCTGCCAAGGCCTTGAATATCTGGAAGAAAAACTGGGACCTACAGGATTTGTTATTGCCAGATGAATAAAGAGTGCTTCTAAAAGAAGGCACAGAGTTTCCTTCCAGATGTGTGACTTCATCGATAGCTTTGCCATCTGTTTGATCTGTGGAGTGGGCCACTCTGAGAGGGTGTGTTTGAATAACCCACAGAGTCGGCAGCTTAGCTGGAGCTGCACACCTTCACGGGGAACAGAGATTCTTGGGGTTATATCCCTTCCTAAGCAGTCTGGAGAGCCGATCTTAAATGATCAGGAGGGTTAAAGGACCTTGGGGGGACATATGTGCAATTCTTAGCACAATTTCCAGCACATAGTAGGCACCTGTGCACAGGTGACCCCTAATTCTAGTCTGATAAATCCACATTTCATGTAAAAGTCAATTTGGTCTCCAGAGTTTTGTTAAAAGTCATCAATTGTGCCAAGAACAAGGTGGTTGTATGGCTATATCCCGCCGCGTCTCCACGGGTCCTCCATTTCGGTCGTGCTAGATGCAGCAATTCCAAGCACTGCGCACACTGGCCAGTGTTTTGTTCTTGTTTTAAGCTTTTTTTTTCCCATAGGGTACATTCACTCACCAGAGAGAGAGAGATAAAGTGGGAAAATAAGAAACCATCCCCTTCCCGCCCCTGCAGGGTTGAGAGGGATGGCTGTGCTCCAATCTCTTCTCCTTCATTTTCCTCTCGGGATTTTGGTACATGTTCCTTGAGTGTTTTTCAAGCCTCCTGGTCTGGGACTCAAACTAAGCAGCTGGCCATGTGGGATCCAGCCACCTTAACCTCCATGCCAACTGCTGGCCCCATCTTTTTTTTTCATACACAGAAAATTGGCACAACTTTTTAGGTCAAGAAAAAAAATTCTAAAGCAGCAGTCCTCAACCTTCCCAGCACCAGGGACTGGCCCTGAGGAAGACAGTCCCTCCACAGATAAGGCAGGGGCGTGGGGAAAAGTGGAGGTGTTGGTCCTGGGGTGACTTAAGCGCATCATATCCACTGTGCACCCCATTTCCACCACTACCACATTGCAATATACAATGGAACAATCACACAACAATAGGGTTTGAACTCCCATGAAAATCTAATACCACTGCTGATGTGACAGGGGGCAGAGCCCAGGCGGCAGTGCAAGAGATGGGGAGTGGCCGCCAACACAGACAAGGCCTCACTTGTTTGCCTGTTGCCCATTTCCCACAGCATGGCCCAGGTCCCCAACAGGCCATGGACCAGGAGGCTGGGGACTACTGCTTTAAAGGAAACAAAGAGAAGCCATCAAGATACAAATCAAATTCTGAGACAGTATGCTCAGCAGTAATTGTTTAAAGTCCTGGAAGTACAATTGAAGATACCATTTGGGAAAAGGGAGAGAGAAAGGCCATGTGTGCTAGCTGAAAGTGTTGCAGGTAATGCAGAGAGGATATCAGCTCAAAGCAATGATTGCTTCCCGGCTAAAATGCACCAAGTTCTAGCACTGGGGTAGTGGAGTAAAAGCCTGAATGCAGACCAATAACCTGTACACCTTGGACTCACAGGTTTGCTTTTGCCTAAGAGGAATTTCTGGGTTTAGCTCTTAATAAGTCATGTGTGTTGACACTCAGGGTCATCTGAGGGGAAAAGGCTGGTAGTCTCAGCCTTAGACTACTAAATTACTTGAGCAATTTAGAATTAACCTTGTGACCTGACGCGAGTCATCTAATCTAGTTTTCTCATCTACAAGATGGCGATAGTACTACTCTCTCATTCATTATTCATCCATTCACTAGAAATTACTAAAGGCCCACTACAGGCCAAGCAGGAGTATATGGTGAGCAAAACAGGCATGGTCTTTGCCCTGTGAGCTGACCAGCTCATCTCGCAGGGCCATAGGTACAGAGCAGGTTTCCTACTGGAGAGCATTCTAACAACAGAAGGAAAGTCTTCAGAATTACCACTGATGACGTCCACGCGTGATCTTGCTGTGTGACCTGGGCAAATCATAACTTTTCTGGGCTTTTCTACTCTCCTCTGTGAAACGAGGAAATGTTCTGTCTGAAAACTTCGTTATTTCAAACACAAATGAAGACGTTAAGTTCTTTAGGTGCATCTGAATTGTGGTTTTCTAAAAGCATTTCAACATAAGGAAAGAGTAAGAGCAATATAACAAACCCTTGTGTAGCAACTCCTCAGCTTAAAAGAAAACATGAGAAGGGGCTCTCTCTGGTGGCATGTCCTCTCTTTCCTAGAGGAAGTAACTGTGACAAGCCACCAGATTCTGTTCATTTTTCAGAATCCTGGCCTTTCTGGAAAACCTGGTGTGAGACTAAAAATGGCTAAGCAGTGAAGAGCTCTTCCTACACTTAGGAGTCCACGTTCCTAATGAACACCTGGTCAAGGTAGTGCACATCACAGAAAGCTCAAGCATCTGTCCTTTCCCTGTTTCCCGCCCAGCAGACAGTTAGAAACCCCTGTGGCAGGCACTGCCTGCTGCCCTTAGAAGGAGCACAATTTTGTATTTACCTTGAGGGCCTTCTGGGCAGATTCACTAGACCCAATTGCAATCAGGTTAGGCCCAGCCATGCTGCAGAAACTCTTCAGGTGCAAAGTATCAGCCACAGGGACTGTGGATACAGCATAGTCCTAGGCAGATAACAAAAACACAAACAGTTTGGTATTACAGAATAATTCGAACTCCAGTGAAAAACCTGCCTGAACCATAGCTACTCTTTTGAAAGCTGCCAAGGCCTTGAATATCTGGAAGAAAAACTGGGACCTACAGGATTTGTTATTGCCAGATGAATAAAGAGTGCTTCTAAAAGAAGGCACAGAGTTTCCTTCCAGATGTGTGACTTCATCGATAGCTTTGCCATCTGTTTGATCTGTGGAGTGGGCCACTCTGAGAGGGTGTGTTTGAATAACCCACAGAGTCGGCAGCTTAGCTGGAGCTGCACACCTTCACGGGGAACAGAGATTCTTGGGGTTATATCCCTTCCTAAGCAGTCTGGAGAGCCGATCTTAAATGATCAGGAGGGTTAAAGGACCTTGGGGGGACATATGTGCAATTCTTAGCACAATTTCCAGCACATAGTAGGCACCTGTGCACAGGTGACCCCTAATTCTAGTCTGATAAATCCACATTTCATGTAAAAGTCAATTTGGTCTCCAGAGTTTTGTTAAAAGTCATCAATTGTGCCAAGAACAAGGTGGTTGTATGGCTATTCATGGGGAGAAAACAGAAGACGGTCTTGCTAACTTTGTTTCTCTCACAGTAGCTTAATGAGGCTGGTTTATTGAGAAATGTGAATTTGACAGCTTCTAAAACTTCTAACAGATGTAAAAATATTAGGAATTATTTTGCAAAGCTGGAGAAATACAAACATCCTTACTCGTAACATAGTGATTCAATATGTCTATGAATATGTATTTATTACCATGTTCCCTGGCATAAATTATGCTTTACCTACCTTAAAAGTATCAGCCAAGATTTCAGCACCTCGTTGGTTTGTCCTTTTGGAAAGGCCCACAAAAAATTCTCTGCCTATAACAGACGTCATGGAACATCATGAGTGGGTGGCACCAGTGACTATGCACCATTTTTCCTACCAATAAACAATGGCCCTAGAACATCACACAGTTCTATCCTATCAGAGGGCGCTTCCCCTAAAGAGATCTCTGCTGTCTTTACAAAAATTGATTTCAAACTGTTGCCCTTAAAAAAAAGGCCTTGAGTTAGTGTGCCAGGAACAACATCTGGGTGGATGGCAGAGTAAGGACTCTGTTGGGGGGCTCTCTGTCTCTCGTGGAAAAACCAAAAAAAAAAAAAAAAAAGTAAACTTAGAAAGTTTTTTAAATTCATGGGGACAGAAAGTAGATCGTTGGTCTTCAGAGCTGGATGGAGGTAGATAGGGAGAGTGATTATTTACTGGCTGTCGAGTTCCAGCTCAGAAAGATCAAAAATCCCTGTATGCATGGTGGTGATAGTTGCACAACAATGAGAATGTAGTTAATGCCTCTGAATTCTACACTGAAACTGCTGGAAATGGTAAATTGCATACTATGTATATTTAATCACAATAAAGAAAACATTTTGGGGGCCAGCAGGTGGCATGGTGGTGAGTGCTGGACTCCCACATGGCTGACCACGGTTCGAGTCTTGGACCTGGTGGCTTGTTTTCTCGCTTTCCCTCCCTCTTCCTCTCTCTCTTACTCTGTCTCTCTCTGGTCAAATTTAAATAAATAAATAAGTAAGTAAATAATAAAGTTAAAGAAAGTAATTCTTTAAAAAAAAATGAATACATTTTTATTTTTATTGCCAGAGGGCATGCGTGCTCACCAGAGAGAGACAGAGGAAAAAAAAAAACACCCTCCAGTGGGGCGTGGTCAGACTAGAATCCCTTTCCTCCATTTCTCCTTTCCATCAGGGTTTTAGGCATACAGGCACACGTGACCAGCATTTTGTTGTTGTTTTTTAAGCCACCAGGGCTAGAATTTGAACAATGGTCAGCCATGTGGGATCTGGCATCCTACACCCAGTGGTTGACCACTGTGCTATAGGCCTGGCCTTAAGAATACACTTTCAATGTAAGAAATAACAGAACCCAACACATTAATAGTATGTAATTCAAAATTAGGTAATAGCAATGATGCTAGCAGTGCTCTTTTCCCCTCTCAAAGAACAAAAGGAGACGTTTTTGACGAAATGAAATCCCTTTCTTTTAGTGATCATCTAAGGCCTGAAGAAACTCTCTGGGTAAAGTGAGTTTGGTGTTGACTGATCTTTAGGTCTGGCGTCTAGGATTTCTGTCTTTAAAACTACATATCTATTTATTTCACATCAAAACATTAAAAGACACCTATCTACAAATTGCACAAGTGTAGGAAGATTTGACTTTCCTGGAATTCTGCAGTTTTTCTACTAAAAATACAAAACACTAGATGAAAATGGTCTTATGGCGATCGGCAAATATAGTACATGTGTAGGCAATGCACAAATGTGGGAAATTCACTCCTTCCTTAATTCTTGGGAAAGAATTCTACAAGAAATGTGGGGAAAAAATATTCAAAGGGATGAGCCATTTGGTGGTGTAGAAGTTAAGGTGGCTGGATCCCACATGGGATCTCAAATCCTGGCCCTGGCGGCTGAAAAAAAACCCAAAAAACCAAACCAAACATACAGGTCACGTATGGTGGTGGGTGGAGAGTGGAGATCTCCTAAATATCTTCCTGATGTAAATAACTAGAAAGCTGGAATCGAAATGCTGTTCAGATTTTTGCCATGGGTACGTGCTCTTGTTGGAAAGAGAGAGAGAGAGAGAGAGAGAAAAACCACTCCCCAGGGAGGATGGCCTCACTGCAATCCTTCCTCCTCCATTCTCCTTTTAGGATTTTGGACATACATGCACACAGACCCGCATGCTTTTCAAGCTGCCGAGTCTGGGACTCGAATCACAGAGTATGCCATGTGGGAATCTAGTATCTTAATTACCATGCCACCTGCTGTGCCTATTTTGGGGTTTATATGTCTCTAGCGTCGTTTTCTTCTTACCAACTCATGTTTTGTTTTGTTTTTCCTCTCTACTTTACTCATGTAGAGGAGAAAGCTAGACATTTGACCTGTGGATTATTCTACACTTTAGATTGAGCGAATTGCTTCCTCTTATTTAACAATGACATTTTTTTTAATCCTTTTTTTTTTTTTCCAGTAAATTGATAAGTTGTATGTGGGTGGTCAATTAGATTCTTATTTAAATTCTTTTTCTTTTTGGACAGGGCTACTTCAGAGGTGGGCCTGTACTTCTATCGCATCACATCACGAGGCACATGACAGTCACATTCTCAGCAAATGACCAGTGGGTTTAGGTGGTATCAGCCTGATTCCTCCATTACACAGTTTCCTACTGAGCTTCCGTGTGGTGGTTTTAACATCTTTGGATGATCAGTACACAGAGCCATTATTTCGTTAGAGATCCTCATTTACTGGCTTCAATTCCATAAAGAAAATCTTAGTCAAGTATTTGGTCTTTTTGAAATACAATTAATAAAACAAAACAGATAGGCTAGCTCTTTAGTTTTTCCTTTATGTACCAATTATTAGAGAAATGAGATGCTATTCCAGCAACTTACAATAATGGCCAATGCATCTTTAAAAAACATCATTATCCACTAATGAGTCAACGATAAAATCATAATGGAAATTAGAAAACATTTAGAAATAAATAACAAAAATATTCATCTCAAAACAAGGATTCTGCAAAAGCAGTGTTTTGACAGAAAGTTATAAAGCCTCAAATGCTTATATTTAAGATGAAAATTTCCAGATAAATGAGACAAAATTCCAACTTGAAATTTAAAAAAAAAAAAAAAAGACATAATAAGAACAAAGACATGTGCTGGCTGGTGCCAAGGCTTACTACTTAAGAGAACTCGATCCCACATGACCAACCATGTGCTTCTAATTCCAGCCCTGGCAGTGTGAACCACACTCTGTGTATGTGTGTGTGTGTGCATGTGCATAACTCAAGTCCTGAGATGATGAAGAGATGGAGAAGAGACTGCAGCATGACCACACTCCCTGGGGAGGGCGCATTACCCCTCTCCCTCTCTGTCGGTCTGTCTCTCTCTGGAGCCTACATGCTCTCTGGCAAATTAATACACACACACACACACACACACACACACACGTGGAGAAAGGAAATAAAGATAGAAACAGAAAGAAAATATTCAAAAGAATGGGTTTGAGAAAGCCTATAGTTGGTTCTTTGAAAAGAAATAAAATTGACAAACTTCTGGCCAAAAAAAAAAAAAAGACATAGGCATGGATACACAGAATAAGAAAAGGAGACATCTCCAGTTGCCGTGAGGCTTAACACAAACAAAGAAGATATGAATAATCCTATACACAACATTTTGAAAACTTAAAGAAAAAAACAGAAAATGGAACTCACCAAAGCTAATTCAGGAAAACCTAAACTGTTGTATAAAACAATGATATAATCATTAAAGAAATGGAATCAGTTTAATATCTCCCCCAACACACAAAAAAGCACCAGTACCCGTTCAACATGTATGTTCTGCCAACGTTCAAGCAGCACACAATTCAGAGTACTGATTCCAGAAAATAGATAAACAGGAAGTACCCTTTAAAACATTGTACGAGGCTAATGTAACTCTCCTACCCAAATTAGATAAGGATATCTAGAAAGAAAAATTATATACCATGGCCATGAAAGTCTTAATAAAATATTAACAAGCTAAACCCAATTCTGTATTAAAAAAAAAGAATAAATCATGATCAAGTTTGATACCATCCCAGGCATACAAGATTGATCAAATGTCAGAAAACCAGTGAATTTCACTAACCAAATGAACAGATTAAAGAAGAAAATCATATAATCATCTCGAAGCAAAACGAGTTTACCCTATCACCTGAAATTCACTTTCAGGGGTTTACCTTAGAGCAATGCTTGTGCTCGTTCCCGGGACACACACACAAGAATGTACGTAGGAGTACTGAAGATAACAGACAAAAACACTGTTGCATCCATCAGCAGAAGAAATAAACACACTGCGGTGGATTCTCACAGAGTACTACACGGCCTTGAAAATGAGTTACAGCTACTGCACGCATCAGCGGAGATCAAAAGTGGGAAAAAAATCACATAAAGACAGACAGAACCAAAAAGCAGATACTGTGGGAATACATAGATGGAGGTCAAACTCAAAGGCAGGCAAGGCAATGATTACTACACAACCCAGGAAAGTGGTCAGCTCAGCTGGGAGGAGGAATGACTGGGCTCAGGGACCACATGCGGTTCTATCACAGTATTTCTTTGGTCAAGTGATGGGCACCCAGATGCTTCTGTTATTATTCATCTTTGAAATATACTTAACCATTTTATCACTCTTTTTCACATACTCTAGATTTCACATAATAAATAAATAAATAAGTCGATATTGCCTACTTAAGAGAAATGGTGCCGAAATAATTTTTGCCAATAGCTGCTTGCCTGACCGACAGATTTCCCAAGAGGAACTGGAGTTGGAAAGCAGTTTTCCCTCTGTTTCCTGATAAATTATTAATGAAGCTCTTAGTTACAGAAGGTAGAGCCGAGCACACAGAAAGTGCTACAGATTTGTTTCTTACTCAACTCTGTCTACTCCGAAAATGGAGGGGTGGCAGCTGTGCGCACTGTGAACGTAATTAAGGCCACCTGAACGGGATATTCTACGGTGGTTGACGTGGCAAAGTACATTATATGTGTTTTGCCAAAAATAAAAAGACGGAAAAAAATTTGAGAAGTTGGAAATAGAAGGTAGGACCAGACATTAGGCATGAATATCAGGCAGATGAAGATATGTCCACATCATCTCAGTTTTGAATAAAATAACTATTAAGACATCAACTTAAGTATTGAATATATCAAGTAAAAAAAAAAAAAAAGCCTGCAGAGTATCAAAGGCAAGCCTCGGTGTGTAGTACCTAATTATTAGATGGTGCAAATACATTAGGTTGGAAATACTCTAGAAAGAGCCATGACCAAAGAAAGAGACTTCTGGTATCAGTTGTGCCTTGACAATGAGGACATTTTAGGAGTCTGCCAGCTCAATTGTATGATCACTAAATGGCTGTGAACATAGCTTGTTTAAACCGTATTTCAAATGTTACCTGATTACAATAAGTTATTTATTTCTTGGCTATGTTCTGCTGAAAGAGAGTTTTCAAGAATATGTGATTTACACATCTTGCTTTTCACAAAAGCCTATTTTCTAAGGAAAACAGCCTGTTGTTCTGTGCTGCCAAAAAGAATGACAGTCTCATCAATGGGAGACACAAAGAATATTCTAAGGGGAACTCACTGGGCAGATTCAAAGAATGCCTGAGTCTGCTGGGGGCACAACCGGAGCGAGAATGCAGCGTAGGCCTCCTAGACTCCTTGTTCTGAGTGCTGAGGACGCAACAGGGTGCAACACGAACTCCAGAGCCCTTCCCTTGGCGCAACGGCAAGGTTGTGTGGAGGACCTGACAATCCCACAACCCACGACAAGAATGACATCCCCTGGAGCTGGAGTCACCTCACCCATAGGTACAGACTCAGGCAAAGAACTACTCAAATATCCCAGGATAAACATCACTCCTCCAGGAATAGTCACATATTCAGATTTAAGTAATAAGAAACTTTGTTTTTATATTCAAACAAAGATGGCTATATTTTTGGTTATAGATAAAATTCACATCAGCAAAAATATTAGACTTCTAAGAAGATTTACACTTTCGGTGGGCCACTTGGGGTTATATTCCCAAATTCCAGAGGATAAGCTCTTCTGTGAGGGCAACATTGGTGTAAAAGGTATTTATTCTCTGACATTTAGGGGAAAATAAATTCTCACTATAAATTAAAATTACTATTGATATTCTTGATTAGAATACTATTGATTACTCTTTCTTGTCAGTATAACCAGAACGTATCTGGGAATCTAAATTGTACACATGATTTTACTAAACAGTGAAAATAAGACCTTAAAGAGTTGAAAAGGTGAAATACTAAAATTACTTTTCTTTAATAACTATTGTAAAAATTGATTCTGGTTAGATTAATAATAATATTATATATATATATATGTGTGTATATATATATATATATATATATATATATTAAAGTTTGGTATAGGGCATGTGTGTTCACCAAGGAGAGAAAGAGTGAGAGAGGGTAAGTGAGAAAGCAAGCCACCAGGGCTGGAACTCGAAGTATGGTCTGCCCTGTGGGAGTCCAGTACCTTAACCACTATGCTACCTGCTGGCCCCTAGCTATTTATATTTTATTGAGTTATGCTATTATTCATCTGGCATTAAGCTAAGTCCATTTGCATGGAAAATTATTTAAACTCATCTTGCCATCTGGCAGAAAATTATTTGTAAGTGACACTAATCTTGAATTAAGACTCCTTTAAATACAAACCAGATACCTAGTTACACAATGGAAAATTACATGATCTATAAACTCGAGTTGTGAAAGAACATCCTAGAAGCAAGACATGTACTGATAACACTCATGGAAAAACTGTGCAAATATGGCCCAAGTGGTGCAGCAGTGACGTGACGTGCTGTGATGTCGACGCCACGTGGGAGGCTTCTGGGTCCATGTCCTGAGGTTTTCCAGCACACACTGGGCGTGCACACGTGCCCCCAGTGCTGGCTGAGGCTGCGGGTGGATCAGGGTATGAAGACCCTGCTGGGGGTATTTGCTTCCTTTCTCTGTATTTCTGTTTCTCTCATGGAAGAAATAAATGGGTATACTTTTAAAAATATGCAAATACATGCATACAAAAATACTAAAAGGACACACACTCAAGCACTGAAGTGACTATCCTTAAATGGAAAGTCAATTTTTTTCTTGTGCTTTTCTGTATTTTCTGAATTCTTCACATGTAGCATTTCCTACTATGACAATTTTTTAAAATGTAATGAAACAAATGAATCTCAGGCAGGTGTTAAACATATTTTGGGGGACCAGACAGTGACACACCAGACATGCAGTGTCTGCAATGCCAGGCCCACTTGGGAAAGTCCTGGGTTTGCATCCCGTCTCCCTGCGCATGTCGAGGGCAAGCCTGTGCCCATGGCGCAGATTTGCTGAGGGCGGGCTAGATCTCAACTAGAAGACTGTGTTGGGGATGTCTCCTCTCCCTCGCCCCCACTGTTTCTCATGGAAGAAACAAATAAGCTCAAATATATGTTTGGATGAAAGAATAAATACAAGTATACCTGTGAATAAGACATCTCCGCCATCTAAGGTTGCATTTTCATCTTTCATCTCTACTATGTTGAGCTGAAGTTTTTCTAATGCTTCTTTCATCATGTCGACCTGTCAAAAATAAAATGATTCAGATTAATATCTACCATTTCCTAACAAGAAAACCAACTATCTAAAACTGGTGAGCACTAAGTCATGTTCTCATATATACACTGGCACATTCACACAGCCATCCTGGTGACTACATGAATGTCATATAGCGTAGGACCAAATTATCTGTCGAAAATGCCCCATTTTGTTCCCTTCTAGCCTGAAGTTGAGTCAGTTGTATAGTCCCCCTTTGTGTAGAAAGGTTGATTAGTTAGGACATGGAGGCTGATTAAGACAACAGGAGTCAAGGAAGGTAAGAAGCACAGCACCTAATCCTCCTACATTTGCCAGAAAGTACAAGAATTACTATTCAACTTTAGTCAGTTAATCAGAATCACACACGGAGTAATACATGAAAAGAATATCAATAACAATAACTAGCAATCTGAAATCATAACTCTTAGTATGGCTATTGTTTCCTAATCAAGTATGTTCTAAAGTGTCAGAATATCCAAGGCTTTTGTGTAAATCTAAACTGTTATGTAAGTTTATCCTTAGACAGTTGATATGATTACCTGTCTTTTTTTTTTTTTTTAAATTATAGACCTTGCAGCTAAATTTTTCAAGTGAGACTTAGACCAGGTCTGGCTGAAAACACATTGTATTTATTCTATTAAAATAGAAACAGGGAAAAAGTAGACTCCAGAATTCTTTTTTCTTTTAGTATGTAAGATGGAACTTTATGTTTTGCCATTTATTATGATTGTTAGCAGTTTTTATATTTTTCCATTTGTCAAATGTTTACCTGTCTTTCAAAACATAGTTCCCGAGACACGATGAACAAATACAATAACCACAATCAAACCAAAGAGTACTTGAAAATGAATTTCAGGGACTTTCTATGACTCTAGGTTGTATCTAAATCACAGAGATATTCTGGGCTCAGCTCAAGTTAGGGAACACTTCTAGTGAGACCTATTTCAATAGGAGAAAAGATAAAAGGCATAACAAGTGCCCCCTCCAAGCTCACAATTGAATTCAAGTCCTTCCAGCAGTTTGACAAAATGATTTAAATATTTTTCAAGGCTAAGGAAACAGTGAACACACACATGCACAAGACATGAACAGAGACTAAGGTAAGAACAAGAAGTAACAGCAAACTGGGCAAAGCAGGTAGTCCTGCCAAAATACAGCATGCTGAGGACAGGCAGAGACCCATCAATGAGGTGAGGAGTCATAAATATAGTAAGGTTTCCTCTAAAGTAATACAAATAAGGACATACTTTAGCAAACAAGCCCAACATTCATGCATTTAAAAAACATCCAAGAGGATACAAAGTAAAATAAATACATCATCTCATCCTTGTCCTGGAACTCATGTAAAAATTCCGTGAACCAGAGTGACTCAGAACAATAAAAATTATTTCCATGGATAAAATGGTCTTACCATTGTAATAAATACATCCAATGACCTCTTTTAACAACAGAATAGGTTTTCCTATGTAACAGGAAGTGGAATCGTTGCTATAGCATAAAAAAGGAGCAAAACAGCATTTAGCATGATTTGGGCTACTGTGAGCCCAACAAAACATACAGTTGTTTCCCTCTGGCATCTCTGAGTCTGTGTCCATGGAAAATTCACAGGTTTTAGAGAGTGAACATGGGAACCCAACTGCAGTTAGTTATCTTTTGTTTCTATTACTAATGCCACTGTTTCTACTATAAAGTAACATTTCACAGATTCCTAGGACTTCAACAATAGCATGCATTTTGGTCTGGAAAGTTTAGGTGTAACATCTTAACTCAGTAACTTTATTCAACCCTCAAGAGTTAAAGGTGAGAATAAAAATAGGGAGACTTCTGTACACCAGTTTCAGAATCACCCATACTACTTTCTCTTTTTTTTTTTTTTTTGAGAGGTTTTTTTGCTATAGGGCGCGTGCGCTCGCCAGACAGAGAAAGACATAGAGACAGAAAGGGAGAAATCACCCCCCAGGGGGGATGGTCACACCATAATCTCTTCTCCTCCCTTCTCCTCTCGGGATCTTGGGCACGCACGCACACGCGCCTGGTGTGAGTTTTAAGCCACCAGGTCTGCGACTCGAACTGCGGTCAATTACATGGGAGTCCAGCGACATAGCCATTACGCTAACTACTGGTTCCCATCTTCTTTTAAAAAAATTAAAATTTTACTTTATTTATTTATTATAATTTGACCGGTGGGTTGGGGGAAGAGAGAGAGAACAAACCGCCAGGTCTAGGACTTGAGCCACGGTTGGCCATGTGGGAGTCCAGTGCCCTTAACCACCATGCCACCTGCTGGCCCCACACCTGTATTTCTTTAAGTCTTTCAAAATTAAAGTAGAGGATAAAATGTTTGTGGTTTCTTAAAAGTTAAAACAGCTGCACTGACATTAAAAAAACTGGCTTTTGTGCAAGGCAGTACTTTAAAAAAAATGTTTTAATAGGCAGTCACATCTCTATAAACAAAGTCATCCAGACAAGTCCACACCATAAACAGCGACTCTACTGCATTACTCTCAGACTTAAATGCACGGACAAGTTTTTAAAAGTTTTGAATGTCTACTAAACACTTTTGAGAACTGCAATGCCATATGACATCAGATAGGCAATGCTGACCCCAGGGAGGGTTCTGGAGCAGAAACACGAGAAGCTGAACCCGGCAGGCTGTCCATTGAGAACTGCGTACTCTTGGCATGGAGGTCCCACGGTGAAGCAGACACACTCAGCTGCAAACAGGCCCAGCATTGCCCTGATGCACGGTCCCACAGCAAGCCAGCTATTCAGGCAGTTAGAACACTAAATGTAACTATAAAAGTGGGAATCTGAGCAGGAAAAGATCCAGACCATGAGCCTTCAAGAAACTGCCCATTCTGCGGTTACACAGCCATGGCTAATGTTGACTTAATTAACTTTAAAGAGGAAGAAAAAACCGACGAAACAACACACCCACCTTTCACTGAGACACTAACCCTGCAGAGTGGAACTTAGCATTACTCACAGAAACTGTCAGAACAAACAGTATTGATTCCAAAGGCTGGGTTGAATGGGTCATTTTAGCCCATGAAGTTAGAAATGGAAGGAGTAAATCAGAGGAAAAAACTTTAAATTAATTTCAACCTCCACTTAAACCTTAGGGTGTGGGTATATAATTTTCATACTCTATTCTAAAGATTTACAAGAACTCTTTTCCATCCTTTTTTTTTTTTTTTTAAAGTTTTATACTTCCATTTCTTTTTGCCTCATCTTTTCTCCTCCCACCTTTTACCAGGGATTCTTTCCTTGGCTACAGAGGCTTCAGACCTTCTCTGCTACTTCCATTCATCCAACTTGTGTATCTTTCTCTTCAAGGGCTGGTTGTAGTCTTGAGGTACTCTTCTTTTTCATCTTCTTTCTTTTCATCCTTCCCTCCTCCCCCATCTCTTCCTGTTTTTCCTTTCTGGAGTAGTAATGCTTAAAAATGTAGCATTACTGGGCTTACCATTCAGTCATTGTACTAGGAAAGTTATACAGTGTGTTGTGATGTAGGGCCTGGGGTTCAAATCTCAGCCCTGCTACTTACTAGACAGATGACCTGAGGTTGTTAAACTTTCTGAGGCTCTGCTTTCCCATCTTTAAAAGGTAATGTGTATTTATAACAATATCAACTTCTTAAATGCCTATTGATCATCCAGTGTATACAAAGCACTTAGCATAACTGCTCAATAAACAGCAAAAAGGACTTTTTCTATTTTGGTAAATACCAGTTTGTATGCACACAGATACATGTGCTATGAAACTGACCCACAAGAAAAAAGCTGTTGTTTTTTCTTACATTTGGACGAGTTGCTTGTGTTTTACCACACACGGCAGATTCCCATCTGCTATCCAGTGAATTCAAATTGCAGTCTTTTCTGCAAAGTCCATGTAAAGTTACAGCACATACGTTGAAGACACATTTAAACTGAAATCTAAACCATTCAACTTTGGTTTCCTTTCAGCTCCTGGAAGCTGTTAGGATATGTGGTAGATTTCTCACACGTATAATCTCTGCTTTGAACTAATCCTCTGGAGCTACTACAGCAGGTAACAAATGGACCTGTCTGGTAAAATGTTCCACAGGACTCAGGAGCCTCAGCCAAAACCATGGAGAATGATTTGGCTGCTGAGAACTCCCATCAACCTAAAGCATCCCTTTTCTGTCACCGTGCCTGGTCTCCTCTCCTTACTTTCCGGTCTGTCTATTCTTACCTTCTTTTACGGCCTCATTTCTGTGCCCTCGTTGGGCCTATCATGTTTACATCATCATCCTTCTTTCTCATTTCACTCCTGAACCCTCATGATGAGTGGAAGGCGCAGAGATTTGAATCCTGGCTCTATCACTGACCAGCTATGCAACTTGGCATGAATTAACCTCTCTGAGCCCCAGTTAGGAAAACTGCAAATGGGATCTGTGTCCTTTCTATCAGGAAGGATGTGAATAACTAATAAGATAATACACATAAAGGCCCAGTTCAGTGCCTGGGACACTGTGTCCATAACTCAGCAGTTGGGGGTACTATTATTTTGCCCTCAATTAACCTAGTCTTTGGTTTGAATTCTGGCTATCTTTTCAAAAAGAAACAAAAGATTAAAAAAAATCAATTTAAGCTTTAAATAAAGTGTATTTAAAGCCCAACTCTCCTTTTCTCCTCGCAAACTCTCGCTAAACCCAAAATACCAAAGAACCAAAATGAAGCAAAATAATATACCTCCCCATTTTCCTAAAATACAGCAAAAATAAAATATAAAACTTTATGCAGTTTTATTAGGAAGCTATATTCATAATAGCTTGCAATAACACTGTAGTAAATTTAATATTCTTTAAGAGCAATATTTTCTAGCTGACTGTCCAAAGTTGACTTTTGCTGCAAATTTGAACAATGCTCGGTTTCAGTGTTTCATATCTTTACTACGGATGTTGTGAATTGTGCTCACGAGGCCTACTGAACCATTCTGTGCTGCAACTAATAAAAACTATG